ATATTTTAAAGTACGATAAATTATTTATATTTATGTATATATAATATCAATAATAAATGAAAGACGAAATCCTCTTCTGAAGTTGTTTATTTTTTTAATTGCAGCATAGTAAAACTAATAGACGATATTCACATAACACTTATAAAATAGTTTTTGATGCAATGAAATAAAATAAAATACTGCGTTAATTAAACTTTTAATTAACAATTAAAAAACAATTGAACCATCAGAGTTTAAAACGAAAAATAGTAGACAATTCGATTCTCTTTATGGTATAATCATCTTCAAGTAAATAAGCAACGATATTTTCATTGCAAATATAATTAATTTAAATTTGCCCAAATACTTCAACTAAGTTGGCTGTGAATTTTAACTTTCGCTTCTCCTCTCTGGTTCATTGGTCGGAAATGGCCTTTTCAAGTGACGCTACTATTGAGGAAACATTAATCCTGAAAAGTTTTACAAATTATAAAAGTAAAAGGGCACAAACCTAAAGAATATTTCTCAAAACGGGTTCATTTGATGGCCCACTACGTAAGGTATGTATTCTGTTAATTCGCTTCCAAAGGATTTTCGTTATTTTTTAAAATAAGTAACTTTTGTAACCACGCCAAATTAAAAAAGAAAGAAAAAACGATAAATATAAACCCGATACGATTTTAAATTCATTTACATTAACTAAACTGCAATACTCCAACAATATTTTACGTGAATTTGCAGAGAATAATTTCATAACAAAAAAATTTGGTACCTGGCCCTCGTAACAAATGCAAATAAAACTTAAAACAAATTCACTTGCTTTCCATAAAACAAAAGTATCTTGAACAAATGAAAGTGTTCTAATGTCGTCTATTAAAACGCTTTACAAGATAAAAATTTGTCTTTATTTGGTACTTACCCATAAAACAGCTAAAAACTTTTCACCAGTACGTAGATGAAAATTTATCATTAATTTTCTCCTTGGTATCCTATTATATTCATTTCTGAAAGATTTCCCGTGTTTTTACAGCAGATAATTGAAATGGAAATGAGGGTGTTCAATGCCAATGCTTCTTCGACACAAGGATACTATCCACACACATGGACTGGAATAATTTCACCATTACAGAATTCTCCTTAGTACAAGGGAATTAGAACCTTCTTGGATCTCTAAGGAGGTGAGAATTTGAATTGCATAAATAGTTTTAATAATAATAAATGAGCATATTAGAGTTCATTTAACTTTACGCTTCATTATTCAACTGTTTTTAAAAAATAAACAAAACCTGAATAATAAATCAAAACAGAAGAATATCAGTTACATCAATTGTTTAAACAACATATTAACTGACGATAATGATGAAATAAGTAGCAATGAAGAAAGTCAAAATTAAATAAATTTTGCTGATAACTAAAAATAAGCAATAAACAACTCAAAACTATTACAAAAAGAATTAAGTACATCAACATGACCTATGAAAATAAAATTCCATATGAAAATGTTTAGAAATATAAAGTGCATTTTCACAACCAAGGTATCATCTTCAATCTCAATTTTACGTTTCTGGACGCTAATATATTTGGAATTTTGAGAATTAGTGTTTTTAGATTAGTTCCTCGAAAGTCCTTTTGATTTTCTTGCAACAAATAAGTCTCAATTGACCACGCAAGAGCAATTTGTTTACAAAATATTTATTTCTTTACTTATGCTTTTTTTATGTATTTCGATGTTTATTCATTAAAGTTACTGTAAGTGGTAGGTTCATGAGGTGGTAAAGAAAGTGTAACAACTTTATTACACATTATTTGTGGATTTTTGTATTATTAAACATTTAGAGAAACTTAAAAAAAAAAAACAGAAAAATTAACAGAAATATATATCTTATAGCTTTGATGCGATAATTTAATGTAAAAACAAACCAAATTGATAAATAATGATTTACGACTGGTTTAACTTCATCCTCCTATCTGAAATTTAACTTCAAATGTTTTTCTAACGAGAGAAAAGCTTCACTTGTTTAAATTTAAAAAGTTTCGCGCCTACAATCGCAAAGGTTGGCTTTGAAAACGAAAAGTTTAATGCTCGTCTCTGATTGGCCGGACAATAATGCATCTTTCCTGTGTGGCTATTCTTTTAGAAATGTCTTCTCAAAATAAGCTCTTGTAATTTTTGGAAATTTCTTATAGTAAAAGTGTTAAGATTTAAAAACTTTTTATCAAAACGCGTTCTTTTAATGGTCCATTACAGGAGGTACGTATTTTTTTATTTCGCCCCCAAACGATTTTCGTTATTTTTTGAGATAGTTTCAATAATGTAGCCCACGCCGTGATAAATATTAAAAATGATAAAACTTGTAAATATCATGTTGATACCCAACTAAATTCGTTAGTTTCTGCAAACTTGCATTATTACAAGAAGTTTTTTCATATATTTGTTGGCAGTAGAACGATAATTTAATATTTTGATATCTGGACATCTTCGTAATAGTCCAATACAAATCCAACCAAATTACAAGCACTTGGTTACACAAGCCTTTTATAATTGTCATGTACAACAGGCTTTTAGTGGTTGTTTTAGTTACTTGAAGTTAGAATTTTGTAAAATTACTGTTTTGAATAATAACCTGAAGCACGGAGAACTTTTGTTATATTTTGTTTCAAATTCACTTGTTTTACCTAAAACAAAAGCATACAAAGCAGTATCATTAACAAGAGAATATCTTCTAACGTCAAGTATTAAAACAATTTGTAAAATGGCAATTTGTTTTTCTTTGATACCTATAGCACAATCGAAAACCTCACAGAGGTATAAAACTGTTAATTTTTCATTAATTTTCCACTTGCTATCTATAAAATCGATTGCTAAGACATTGTGTATGTTTTTACAGTATTTGGAATGGAAATTAGAGTTTTCAATGCTAAGACTTCTTCATCATAATATCTTCGAGTACCTACACAAACTGTCTAGAAGTATTTCATCAGCAGGACCTTCAAAACCTCCTTCAATGCAAAGAAAATAAGATTTTCTTGTATTTTCATCGAAGCTTTCACCAACTTTCATAACTTAATAAGGTACGACTGCTACAGAATTGTTGATTTTTATAATACATGAATCCATTTGTTTTTCTTTTAACTTTACACTTCCTATATGTGTAACTAATGATAACTTTTCATTAATTTTGCACTTGCTATCTTATAAAATCGATTGCTAAGACGTTTTTGTGTTTTTACAGTATTTGGAGTGAAAATTAAGAGTTTTTGATGCTAAGACTTCTTCAACATAATATCTTCATACCCACACGAATCAACTAGAAGTATTTTATCTACAGGACCTTCAAAACCTCCTTCAATGCAAAGAAAATAGGATTTTCTTGCATTTCTATCGAGGTTTCCATCAACTTTAATAAATTAATAAGGTACGAATTTAACTTTCCTTTAACTTTATACACTGCAACTTCGATAACCCCCCAGATATGTAACAAATGACAATTTCTCATTAATTTTCCACTTGTTACCTTATAAAATCGATTCTACATGGTAAAGAAATTAGGACTTTCTTGCATGTCCATTGATGCCAATGAGGTAAGAATTCTACACAGTTGTTAGTTTTAATAATAAATGAAAAGAAAACCATTTTCTTTTCATTTTACATTTTGCAACTCAGTTGTTTTTATAATGTAAAGTGATAAGGACGTTTCAATATGGATACAGGATACGACCAAGTGAAAATATTTACTTGTAAAAATGTTTTCTAAATGTCTCGTAAAGTAGATTTTCAGTCTTTGCTTCACTCATTTGAGGTTAGAGTTTTGTAAAATTGCTCACTTGAACAATAACACGAAATACGAGAATTTTGTTATATTTTGCCTCAAATTCATTTGTTTTACATAAAACAAAGGCATACAGAGCAGTGTCATCAACAAAAGAAGGTATTCTTATGTCAACTGTTAAAATATTTTACAAAATAACTATTTGTTTTCATTTGGTATCCATAATACAGTCGAAAACTTCTCAAAAGTATTAAAATGTCAAGTTTTCATCAACTTTAGGCTTTCTATATTATAAAACCGTATCTTACGACATTTTCTTGTTTTTGTATTAATTTGAAGGGAATGAGAGTCCTTAATACTAACATTCCTTCAACATATTACCAATACTCACACAGACGGGTTACAATATAAAGCATATCAACATAAAACAGTAAAACTAAATTATAATTAATTAACTATTTAAGAGCAACTTGCATTCTTAAATTAGTTGCTGTTTTACTTGCAATTTATGTTGGTCTTCCTTTAATGCATTAGAAGGACTAATTAATATTATCTAAATGATGTTACTAGCATTTTAAAATGCAGACATTGAAGAAGTCTTTTACGTTGAGTAAAACGTTTTTCGAATGCAAATAAAAATGATTTTTACCTACTCGAATCGAATTCTAAAAAAATGTTTTCGAAATTAAATTTTAAGTCTTTTGGTGTTTATTCCTCAAAATTACTCTTATGAGTGAGTTTTGAAACTAGTAAAAAACGCTGTGCCCCCTAGTGATGAGTTATGATAATATATAATGGGTTAGTTCATCTCTTTCTACCTGTACTAAAAGATTTCACTTTTTCGTGGATTGCGCGAAAAAAAATCAGGATGGACAAGATCATCCGATTATCGATTTTATTTTAGAAGAAAAAACAAAAGAGGTAGAACAGTCTATGGCGTCAATTTTGGCGTTCGTTTCAAATTAGATAAGTAAAAAGTAAACTTATCGTTGCTAGACAAGTACCAAAGTATTTTAAATGTAGTGATTAAACTGATCAGTATAATTAAAAGTGAAATAACACTGCGAAAAGTTACAAAAAGAATACATGTTTGGGTTTGGCAAATGCTTGTACCTACTCGTAGCTATTATATAAAATTGTAAGTTTTTATTTTTATTCTTATTTTCATTTCGTAGTTATTTTTCTTTTTTTTTTTTAATGTTAGCGAATTTAATGTGATTAATAATAAATAATTTTGTATTAATATTCGTCCACTTATTTATAACAATAAATAAAAATTGGTTTAATTATTCCACAGTAGGTTTTTCGCCAAGTCCTAAAGGTATAATAAGTGTTTAAAAATACTAGGTAATAACTTTAGGTTTCCATGGCTGGTGTCGTTGGTACAAGTTGGTTTTCGAGCTGCTTACGACGTCGTCCATTTGCAATCACTTAACGTTTCGAGAGATATGGTGTTCTCTTCTTTAACAGGCCATTTAAAGCAGTTTTAAGTGAAATAAATAGACAACGTGGTAGCCAGCTCGAAAATCAACCTGGTAATGTAATGGTAGCAATATTTATGTTTTTTGTGATAAATATTTAAGCAGGTGTTTCATATTTGTGATAATCGTCGAAAGCATTTACCAAGCCCCTTAAAAAAAAGCAGACACCTAATAAAATACATCAAAAAGTAGTCATTTGCAACTACTTTAATTAATTTTCAACTTCGTTTATTCAAATGTCCAAATTTTCGCGCCAACAATCGCGAAGGTTGGCTTTGAAAACGTAAAGTTTAATGCTCGTCTCTGATTGGCCGGACAATAATGGTCTTTTCAAGTGACGCTACTTTTATAGAATTTGTTTCTCGACATTAGCTCTGCAATTTTTGGAAATTTCTTATAGTAAAAGTGTAAAAATTCAATAACTTTTTATCAAAACGCGTTCTTTTAATGGTCCACTACAGGAGGTATGTATTTTTTTATTTCGCCCCCAAATGATTTTCGTTATTTTTTGAGATAAAGTTTCAATAATGTAACCCACGCCATGATCAATATTAAAATTGTGAAAAACAACGAATATATTATTGAAAACGGACTAAATTCGTTGTTTTTTTACAAAACAGCACTTCTGCAAGGTTTTTTTTTATATATTTGTTGATATTAAACTGAAAACTGAAAATTTTGATACCTAGACATCTTCGTCATGATTCAATACAAATACAACAAAACTGCAGGTTTTCGTTAATACAAATCTTTTCTAAATGTCTTGTGAAGCAGATTTTGGTTCTCTGTTTTACTGATTTGGAGTTTGAATTTTGTAAAATTACTCATTTGTCTAAGAACATGAACTAGTATTTTTGTTGTATTTTGTCTCAAATTCAGTTGCTTTACATAAAACAAAAGCATAC